GGAACGAAGACATCGTTAGCTTTGCGAACTTGTTCTATAGCGCTCTTAAACATCTCTCTTCTCTGTTGTTTCAGTGTGTCGTCTCTTCTTCTTGTTTCACCAACGTTTGCATTTGTTATGTCAAACATTTCTCTTCTTACTTCATGAGGTACTGAACGTCTATGATATAAGTCAATAGCAATGTCATTTAAAGGAAATGCTCTTGCATGGACTTCGTCCTCGCCGCGTTGCGGCTTTATGAACTCATGAATTCTATCATAACTTATTGCACCATTATAGTCATTGAGGATGTCAGCGAGTGCTTTTTTGTTTGTTGCGTAATGTTTTGCTACTTCTATGTTAGCTTCTGTAAGAAGTTGTTTTATTTCCGAGTGTTCTAACTTAGACAACTTCCGATACATCTTTAGTAGGAAATAAAAAAATATTTTTTGAAAAAATTAGATTAGATTTTTTAAGTTATTTTTCAAAATAATTTAATATTTTTATTTTAATGAAACACATGCAAGATTGCAAGTTCTTTTCATACAATGCTCTCGCTACTGCCATCAAGAATGAGTTCAATAATGCTTCAAATGTTAATGTTATCTTTAACAAGAAGTTTGTGAAAGAATCTAAGTTTGGTCAGTATGTCAGACCATTAGCTATCGTCATTGACCGCAAACGTTATACTTCACAAGAGTTAGCAGTAGTTTTGAAACAAAAGAGTTTCTTCGTGAATGTCAAAGATACTCATTATACTGTCATAAAGAACTCTAACATTGACTTCTTCAGTATTGCTTTAAATCTTTCCGAACAGAAAGAATATAAGAAGGGTGAAACAAATGTGAAATATTATCCTTCATCTCTGAAGACAATAACGAACAAAGATGTTATACAAAAATTCTTACCAAAAGTTGAAGAAGCTTCTATTGACATTGACGAAGGAAGTGAAATGGTTGAAGAAATAGACCCTGAAGCTATTTAAGCAAAAATATATTTTTGAATAACTGATGATGCTACCATGTCACCATGTCACCAGGTCAATTAACTTCTCTGAAAAATGATGACAACATGACATTTTGACAACATGGTGGGATCAATGCAAAAATGAATGTTATCGTTTATGTTATCGTTTATGTTATCGTTAATGTTATCGTTAATGTTATCAGTGTCGAACATAATTGACATGGAGCATTTGTGTTATCGTTTATGTTATCGTTTATGTTATCGTTTATGTTATCAGTGTCGAACATAATTGACATGGAGCATTTATGTTATCGTTTATGTTATCGTTAATGTTATCGTTAATGTTATCGTTTATGTTATCAGTGTCGAACATAATTGACATGGAGCATTTATGTTATCGTTAATGTTATCGTTAATGTTATCAGTGTCGAACATAATTGACATGGAGCATTTATGTTATCGTTAATGTTATCGTTAATGTTATCGTTAATGTTATCGTTAATGTTATCAGTGTCGAACATAATTGACATGGAGCATTTATGTTATCGTTTATGTTATCGTTTATGTTATCAGTGTCGAACATAATTGACGTAGGATTCATGACTTCTTCGTTAATGAGTGTAAATATAGCACAAAAATATATTTTAGGTGAAGAGGTGAGATCTCACCCGTTTTTTCACCTCATTCTCTCTTCGTTAATGTTGTCGTGACTTCATCATTAATGTTGTCGTGACTTCATCGTTAATGTTGTCGTGACTTCATTCTTCCTCTTTGAAGTTATCGAAATATTCTGTTATTTTTTCCTTCAGTAATGTTAAGTCTTCTTTGAATGTAAGTATTGTGCAACCTTTGATGTCATAGTGTGTTTGAGGAAGAGTATTTTTGACAATTTCCTTTATTTGCTCATTCGGTGTCATTGAAATCGGTAAGTTTTCACGATAGAACCAGTTTCTGTCAGATTTATATATTTTAGCTAAGTCATAAAAGCTCTTGTTGTTTCTTCTGACTAAATGCAACATAACCATATCTTTATCTTCTTCTTTCTCCAATTCTTCAGTATATATCATATACCTATAACTCTTTTCCTTTCCTTTTGGTACTGAACGCGGTATTCTTTTCTGTATGCTTTTGTCTTTGGATTCAATGACTTCATCTTTTGCTTTATATAGTTCATCTAACATCATGAAAATATAACAAGCATAACGAGGTGAAGCCCACATTGCTACAGCGTTTACTAAAAGTCTATGAACATAATAACCTTTCAAACAAGGAGCCAAATTCTTGCGATTTTCATACGGAATCTCTTCATTCTGCAAAGCAATTATATGAGGAAATTCTTCTAAAAGTTCTTTTGTCTGTTGGTTTTCAAACCAATGATATGCTTGCTTTGTAGAACGAAGAGCATTCATTATACTTTGCATTTGGTACATATCGTCTTTGACTGAACGAATGAGACGTAACTGTTTGTTATACTGTATGTACTCGTATTCTTCATTTATGTCTTCATGAACGATAGCAGTTGTTGTGTTCTCTGATGTTGACATTACTGTCTTTACATACAAGATAAAAATTTTTGTTAGGAAAAAATTAGCGTTATTTTCTGACTTTCACAAAAGACAAAAATAAACGCTTTACATGTATTTTTCAGCAACTTCGTCAAATAATTTTATAGCTTTATCTATCTCATCTACTTCAAACGTTTCTTTACCTTTTATGGGAGCACCATACATTTTCTCAAACTTTTCGAGTAGTTCTGTTTCTGCGGCTCTCATATCATTAACGAACACAACCTTGACTCTATTGACTGTACTGTCATATCTTTGAGTTATATTATATGTTCTTCCTATCTTATATCTCTTTGTATTGAAGTCCTTCGGTTTCTGAACGATGTAAAGTAAGCCTTCACTGCAACGTTCTGAGTCGAATGAACCATAAGTTATGAAGTTATATCCAACAACAGGGTCAATCCACAGAAGAATTATTGGTATAAGACTTTTGTCAATGAGATATGCTGTAGTTCCATAGAATCTTACCGATATCATGAGCTCAGGATTTCTTGTCAAAATTTTCTGAGTAGAAGCAATTCTAACCCAGTCCTTTGTTTTCTTTCCAGAAGGTGTTATAATGTCTGACAAAGAATATTTGTTGTATTTCTTACAGTATCTTACGTTTAAATCACCAATTCTAACCACTTTGGTGTCATTGTCAATCTTTCTTACTGTTTCAAACTCAATGTTTGACATTACTGTCTTTACATACAAGATAAAAAAATAAATAAAAATAAAACTAACTTTATTTTTATCTTTTATGAAAATTCATGAAATTTGGTCATTTTTCAGCAAAAATAATGTTTAGGTGAAGAGGTGAGATCTCACCCGTTTTCTCACCTGTTTTCTCACCTGTTTTTTCACAAGCGTTTTACATGAATTGTACGATGTATATTTGAAATCCTAAACAATTTCGTAGCTTCTATTTCTTCTTTTAGTACATCGAATGTTTTAATCATGCCGAAAGTCTCTTTATATTTCTTCTTGACGTCAGACAGAAGGAAATCTTCTGCTGTTGGATAGTTTTTATTAAGAAATGTCAACATATCCATTTTATCTTCTGCTGGCTTTTCTGCTTCTTTCTTTAAGTCTGCATAGTCGTTTCGCATTCTTTCTATCTCTTTGACTGAGTAGTTATATTTCCTCATTGCTGCTTTACATTTTGAACATTGCAGATTCATTTTTGCGTTATACATTGAAATAAAACCAGCTAGAACAACTAAGGCGTCAATGGTTTTCTTTAACTCAAAAGCTGCTGGTTTTATCTGTTCATTCCATACCTTACCTCTTCTATCTTTATCTCTTATCTGCCATACACATTTTGCAACTAATGAAACAAAGTTATCGTATGTCTTAAATTCTTCGGATTTGTAAAGGTCAGAAATATTTTTATAAACCATGTCGCAATCTTTGTCCATAACTTTATGGCTGCAATGATATCCTAGAAACTCATAGTTTACCTTTCGTATGAACTTCTTTATTTCTACCGAGTCAGTTGCTTTGACTTCAATTTCGTCAAATTCGGGAATGGTTAGTTTTTGTTGCTGAATTTCAGGTAGTTTAGGTAAATGGTCGATGAGGTCCTGCATGTCATAAAGATATTCTTCATTTTCTTCATCCTGTGCGGTACAGTCTAAATTACTTGTTAACAGTTCTTGCTTTATCTTCTGGATTTTTGTTTCGAAAGTATATGAAGAAGGAATGAAGTTTTTCATCTCTACCAACATTGACGTAGGATTCATGACTAGCGAGTTTGGTGCTGTAGTTGTGAACAGAGTCTCGCCGTTCGTGACTTGAATTGTTGTTGTGCCGATTGTTGAAATCATATCTTTTATACAAAATAAAAAAATAAATAAAAATAAAACTAACTTTATTTTTTCTATCTTAAGGAAATTCATGAAAATTCGTGAGGGTGAAAAAAGAGGTGAAAAAACGGGTGAGATCTCACCTCTTCACCTAAAATATATTTTTGGTGTAAATTTATGACAAAAATAAATGGTACCATTAATGATATCATGACTGTTCTCATTCATGTCTGATTTACATCTAATGAAAAAGTTTAGAAGAATTTTCTTATTCTTTCTGGCTTATTTTTGTCTTTCCAGTACTCCCGCTCTAATGGTCCCAGATGTGTTGACTTTGACTCTCTCAAGTTCTTAGATGGTATAACATCTTCAACGCCTCCTTCATATCTTACTTTATAAGTGTCATCGTTTATGTTGTAGCCAAGTATTTCAATAACCACTCCTCGCTTTGCTTCGTCAATGGTTTCAGCAAGTTTGCCATTACTACTTTCGACTAATTTGTGACGAGGGTAAAACGCAATAGAGTCGTCAGCAGCTTTTATAAGATATCCATTACCTTGCGTAGAGTCTACGATATAATAGTTTCTACTTAACCTTAAACGTTTCTTTGTCAACGGTTTGTCGTCAAGAACTACACGAACTTTTGTACCAGGAATGAGGGTAAATTGTGTTGAATTTCTGATATTTTGTGTTTGGCTTCGTTTCTTTTGTATATACTTTTCTTCTTGTTGTTGTGTCATTGAATTTGGTGTATGTCCTGTTGTAGAATGTGTTGAGGAATTATATACTTCGAGAAAATGTTTCATTGTTTCTTCGGTAAAGTCTCGCTCTTGGTTTAAATCTCTGAGCGTTCTTATGAAGCGGTTTATGATGCCGAGTATGTTATGGTTATGGTCTTCAGTAGTGTAGTGAGTTATGTTATGCTTAATGAGAAAATCTGTGATTTCATTGCTGAGGTATGCACTGTCTTGGTCTGATGTTAAAGTACTTGGGCTATGTTCTGCTACAAACTTTTGTAAAACTCTTAACACTTCACGAGTTCCTTTATTTTTCATTGGATATGCATATGCTTTACGAGTGTTAACATTAATGAAGATGAGGAATGGTTTATGTCCTCCTTTTCTGCTTTGAATGAGAGTGTCAAATTGGTATGCGTCAGGAGTGTTGGAGTAAATTGGTAAAAAGTAGTCGTAAGGGTTTATTTTTGTTTGATGTACAACATTTTTGTCAAAGAACCTTTTCACTTCAGCTCTGTTAGTAAATCCCCAACTCTTTGCAGCTTCATTGAACTTCTTAAATGACCTCCATGGATGTTGTTCGAATACTTCTTTCAAGCTCATTTATGTAAAGTTAAAGATTTTATTCAAGGCTCAAGCGCGTTCATTGAACGCGGTACCATGCGAATACAGTCATAAATGGTGGCATATAATCTTCACCCGAGCCTGTTGGATTTGTTGTGAAAGTGTGTGAATGATTTCCTGTGGTTTCACAGAAAATACCTGCGCTTGAATCTACTGGGTCACTTGAAATATCATATCTATGCATTCCCTGTCTATCCGAACCTGCTGCAAGATTTGTATAACCTCTTTTTGTTATTGAATGTGAATGACTACCTGTTGTGTTTGTAGTTCCTGTATGAGTGTGCGGTGGAAGGTTTGCTTCAGTAATTTTCTTCGAACCTCCTGTTTGCTTTGAAGAGTTAGCACAGTATAAGAATTTGTCTACAATCTGCTGCCATGTACCAAAACCTAAAACACTTGCTGGATTTGTTGAATTCATTGACGTATAAATAGAACCTATAGGATATATGGTTTCAAGAATCTGAGTCTTCATTGTTTGAAGCTCTGTTTTATCTGCTTTCTTATCATATAAATCTTGAGCAGTGAATTTAACATTATTTTCATCACCCATGACATAAACATTTTTACAGCTAATTTTTTTCTTCGTTGTTATGTTTTCATTTGATGTTAAACCTTGTGGAAAGTTAGGAGGTTATACAATATAATGCATCCCCATCAGTTCCGTCAACCGTTCCTTCAATACTTTCTATAGCAACAGTTGAGAAGAAGTTATGTGTATGTTCTTTGTCTGCTTTCTTATCTAACATTGCTGGTAGTTCATGTGTTTCAAAGTTTCTGGCATGACCTTCAATGTTCATACATTTACTATTTAAGGAGTTTAGTGTATCTTTTACGCTTGTACTTGGATTCTCTAAAGGTGCACTTGAACCAAGAGTATAGTTCAATATTATGTCGTTTGCTCTAACAGTAGTGAAGGATTCATGTGTATGGTTCTTGTCAGCTTTACTATTTAATGTAGCTTGAAGTTCATTTATATCGGAGATGTTGTGTTTATGAGATTTCAAAACTTTGTTCATTGCGTCAAGTTCAACTTTGTCAGCTTTACTTTTAATAGCATCTTCAAACGTTATTTTTGACTTAACTCTCAACGTAAATTTTGGTTCAACTAATACACCGTTAACAGAGAAAGTAGAGGCATAAATTTCATCGTTATAACCAAATGCTTCTGGTGCTTTAGCTACGTCATACTGTACAGTACAGCTTATGTCATAACCTTTAGCACGAATGTATTTATATCTTCTTTCATTAACATCTTCAGTGCTTATTTGTTCATCCTGTGTTAAATATCCATGGTAGTCCGTTATAATCTGTTCGTCTGAAGTTATATAATGAACGTGGTTCTTGACTTTATCACTCAGAGCTAGAAGCTCATTTTTGTCTGCTTTTTCGGCTAATTTCTCATTAACATCATTCACTTCTAATTCAACTCTTCCGCCAGAACTCTTATTATCATTAATCTTTTTCATTAATTCGGTAATTACGTCATAAAGACTATATTCTGTTTTCGGTTTTGTAAATAATGAGTCAAAATTTCTTTTCATCATTACATCGCTGATATTAATGATATCACTAATTCCTTTTTCATTTATTCTCTTCATTAATTCTGCAATAATGACGAATATATAATCTGTTAATTTATTCTCTTCATCGAGGGTTATAGAATGTTTTGAAATTGAATCATTAACTCCTCTAAATAAATCAATAACTTCAGGATACACGTTTTTAATGTCTCGAATAACCCGACCAGTATCCTGTTGTTCATGTTCTTCGTTCCCGTCGTTACGTGGTTTTATATCTCTAACCATCATCAACGCAGCCATAACCGGAGGGTTTGTTGCTATCTGTTCGAAAATCGTCCGTTATGTACGGTATATCTAAATAATTTCTTTGTGTTTGTTAAAACATTTGAAACAAGTCTTTTAAAACCATCTACAAAATTTCCTGTTTCACCTAATGTTCTTGCAGCATTTACAAGCTCACCCATTCCCGCTTTTGACCCCAAAAACGTCCATATTGCATTTATTTCACTCTGTATAGTTGTCCATTCAGCGAAACTAACACCCGCATTCGCTAAGCTGAAAATGAAATTCAGTGGATCGAACTTAATTCCACCTTCTTTTTCAATTTCAACGAACTCACTAACATGAGATTTTAAGTATTCTTTCGTTAAAATTGTTTTCCCCGATGTTATGTCATTAACGAAACTATCACCGTCAAAAGTTAACGAATTCAATTTCGTCGTTGATGCTTTTATTTCATACACCGCTTTATCGATAGTTTTTGGCTCACCTTCTTTAGAAGCATATGAAACATTAATGAATGAATTATATGTATTCGTGAATGAGTTAAAATCAATGATTTTCATTAATGACGCCTTTAATGATTCATTTACTGTTGAATCCCTTAAAGCAATTAATGAACTGTCATTTATGAAAGGTACACTGCAAACCGTCGAGTTTGGATCAAATGCTGTAGTTGGTGCAGGAATATTAATGATATAAGTCATTAAATCATTAAGTGACGTAAATAATGTTGTCGTTTTTGATTTAATTTCTTTAGCATCTGTTATATACGGTAATTTTATTTCTGTAGTTTCTGAATTAAAGATATTCGCTAAAATGTTTTGTAAACTGTTTTGAACAGCTGTGTAAACCGTTGAATCCGGAACTCTTACGATTTCACCGTCCTTAATAAAAGGCATTGCACATGGTGTAGTGCTTGGGTCAAATCTTTTTGGGTTATGATTCAACATATATTCTAATGCTTCATAAACAGACCTATATACGGTTGTATTATCTTTTTCAATAATTTCACCGTCCTTTATAAACGGCATAGTACATGGAGTTAAAATAGGGTCAAACTTTTCATAGTCCTTCCATGTTATGTATTTCTCAGTATTTCCATCAGTGATAACAATATATTTGTCAGTAAGTGTGAGAGAGTATTGACCAAAATATAAACGTTTAGCTCTGTCAGCTTCATACGCATATGCAGCTATACTCATATTTTAATGAGAATAAAATGTTGTTCTATTTGCAAAGTACAGACCCAAACGAATACGGGACAGTAAAGCTACAAACAAACTTAGGTCTACAGAATGAGGCGCTTGCATTCAGAATGGTTGACTTCAATACTATCGCTTCATTCGTTATAACAGATGAAACAGATTTCATGGAGATTGAAATAGATGGAAAGAAGCACGAAATAAGATTTCACAATAATGTAGAATATAAGATGGAAACATTAGCTGGAGTGTTAAATGCTCTCATAAATACTACAATAAACAAGGATAACGAAGAAAACTTAATGAATGTTAAACTTATTGCAGGAGTTTTGAAGTTCAGTTATGTGAAGGAGTTTAAGATACCAAGAATGAGTCATAGAGTACAACTTCTTTTGGGTGCATACCATATGACATTTCCTTTGAAAAGTGTTGACAAAACGATTGAGATGAAATCTGTTCCATATGTATGTTATGGTAATTGTTTATACATTGAGTCTAAAATAGCTAATGTCACAGGTATTTCAGGAGTTAATAGTAAAGGTTCAGTAGAATATAAATCCTTCTGTTATGCAGTAAATTCAATGTTCATTCCAAACGTTCCTGTCATAGCAACTCATTTAGGTAAATGGGTTCGCATTAGTCCTCATAATTTGAAAGACATGCAATTCAGACTTGTTGACTTTCAAGGAGAGCCTGTAGAACTGAAGGCACCAGTGCGAATGACTGTTGAAGTTGACTTTTTAGAAAATATTAAATGCAACAGCTTACAAGAGAACTCAGAGCTAAAAATATAAAGTATGAATGTTATGTATTAGGTCATGAACTTTGGTTGTTGCTGTTTGATGAAACAAATGAGTTAGTTATGTCAGTCAAGAGAACAGAAAAATATTGTGTTAGTGAAAACTGCACCAAGTCAATAAGATTAGGTTTGCATTATGAAGATGAGTTCGATACTGTTGAAGAAGTTTTGGATAGATACTATAAGTTGCTTTAATTTACTAAAACATATTTCAAACAAAGTTTATAGTCAGTAGATATAGGGTGTCCAAAGGTGTGTTTAGCACAAACCTGAATACTGCGAATAGAAATAAACAAGTTACATATATATAAAGTTTATTTAAATATAATCACCATTGGATTCAATCACGCGTTCGCAGCGATCGATCCAGGCTTGAAAAGACACGCTTTAAATCATCATGAGAAAATTGCTCAAATTGCTCTCTTACAAAATTTTCAAAGATCATCTGGACTCGCGAATTCGCGTCCTTCAGCTCTCTTTTTTAGCGTGCCGAATAAATAAAAGTCAGAGGGTGCAATATCAGGTGAATAAATTGGGTTTGGAACAACTTTGACATTGTTTTCCACCAAGTAATTCATTACCTTATGACTTTTGTGAACTCTTGAATTATCAAAAATGAATTGCAAACTTTTGTTTTTGTTGTTTGGATTTTCTCAAACTCATCAGAATTGATAATTTGAGTAAGAAACATTGTCAATTAGATACTGAGCATTCATCGTATTAGGTTTTTGAAGAAATATCAATTGCGATGATGCCAATTCACGCCCCAAAAAACCGACAACATCATCATTGGTGTGTCAATTTTTTTCTTCGGGAATGTTTGCGGATTTTCATCCTTCGGATCCACATGATTTTGGCTTCTGTTGCATATTGAAACCAAGACTCGTCGTCCCTGTTACTAAAAAGCGAAACTTCTTGATTGATACGCACCCAATATAGAGAGGAGCTCTTTCGAAGATTGGACTCTAGATTTTTTTTGAACTGAATTAAGGTTGTGCGGAACCCAACGTGTATACGCTAGTTTGTAGTTCAAATAATTGTGCAGATAATAACTGACTGTTTGTAGTGGTATCTTTGTCATCTCCTCTATCCTTCTGAGTGATGCTCTTGGTCTTCATCTAGCGCTTGAAGAATTGCTTTGATTTTTCTTTGATCCGGCGATTTTTTGTCAATTTTTATGATGGGCGCCTTTTTGTTCATGAAGTGATACATCCTAACATGATACGTTACAGTGGAATAGCTAGGAGCATCACATACCGAAGCATTTTAACCAATGTCTCGTAGATTTTTTTACAGTCTTTGCAATTTTTTTTGCAAGAGCGAGGATGTTTTTTTATGATTCATTAAAAAAATGAAAAAAACCCCGCCAAAATTTCCCGGCGAAACCGCCTCTTGTCTCAAATTCATTTTATATCCCGGCATGGCGCAAAATACAACATACTCATCATATACATATATTCATATTTTTTATTATATATTTATAATCAGCATATATCTCCTTTAATAGTCTCATATAGAGCGCTGTGCTAAACGCACCTTTGGACACCCTATAGTTTTGTATACTCGTTCGAATATTTATACTTAAACTCAACTCCTGTAGTTCCTGGTGTTTCAA